GCACCACCACCCCCCGCCTCATCGCTCCAGCAGCCCCGCGCCGCCCCGCACCACACCGACCACTCTGGCCCCGGCGAACCTGCACTCCCCGCTGCGACTAATCTCACGGCGCCCACACTGCCCTCTCTGCATCGGCCTACCTCTCACTCTGCCCTCCACTTCTACTGTTGTGTTTTTATCGTCACCGTTATCCTGCCTTAACACTTCTCTGCGAGTGTCCTAAGAATAAACTTTTCTAATTTTAATTTACAGCAGTAAACAATATTTGTTCGGCCGCTTTCTTTTAACCGAAAGAGGTGGCTCAGGTCTTCAAATGATGTCACTGCAGTGCCTCTGACCTGGAGGTCCTGGTTTCGAGACCCGGCGCTCGACAGGTTGTGTAGCTAGGTTGAGTTCAGTCGCTGTTTGGAGCAGAACTTCAGTGGCCAGCTGCTCTGATCGGTAGTTTTCCGTAATTTCTTTGATCAATACCAGGCTAATTCCGGAACAGTATTCTCGAAACCGGCCTTGCTCTTTTGGTCCTACTTCATCTTACAGACACTTGCACTTGTCACTGCACACTACTCTGGCCGCGATTGTCGGGATATTACCATGATGAGGAGCTACTGGGGCGGTGCTCCGTTGGGAGAGATACCTGGTTAGAGGAAACCCCGTTAGCCGACGGTGGGTCGGCGCCGGATCTCACTATCCACTGAATGAATATCCCCGTCATCCGTCGAAGAAAACATGCACTGCACCTACGAAACTTATGATAGCAGTTGATGCACCCGGAAAAACAAATTAATGAATTCTGGCCGTTTTGTCTGACGTTTCCGCCACCATCGACAGCCCGCCATGACTTCCTTGTCAATCACGAATCTGACACGTCTCTCTGCCATCACTTCCCTGCGACAGACCCTCGCCACGCCTTCCATCTCACCACCCCCGCCATTTTCCAGCTAACTGTCGCGCTTCCACGCCACATCCGTTTCACCACTACCGTTCCCCTACAGCCTCCTCATCACGGACTCTCCGCCAAAGCCATCACTTCACTTCTTCCTATTAACCCTGTATTCTCACTTACCGTTCGTCTCTTCGTGAACCACCCTGCCATTTAAGTTCTTCAACCTGTACAGTCAGGTACCACATGCCATCATTCCCGTTCCAGCTGTTTGTATCATCTTTGCAACATTTTAGGTATACTCTATTATGATCTATTTAGGTATACTCTATTATGTGCAAGTTATCAAAAATTAGTATCAAATGTCACTTGGTTTTTGATAATGTTTTATTAGAATAAGTTTACTATTTTTGTATTTATTTCTCGTTTAAAACACCTCGACCTACCCCTTTTTTAATTCTATCAATTAACGTCCATGCCTTTCATACGTAATCAATCGTTTTAGGTTTTGACACCGCAACCACTAACTCTCTCTTACTTTGCTGACCACTAAATATCGTTTGTCAGTTCTGTGAAATATACTCGCTCCATTTGTATCTTCTCTACAATTATTGCTTTTCTCTGGTCTCTTGGTTCCATCATTCAAGTATCATAATCCCACCATCACTTCGCTCTCACCTCATCCCGAAAATCGTCAATCCTCCTTGACATATTCCCTTTCCGGCACCACTCCCCTGCAATCTCGCAACAATTGGCGTTGGTGTCTCCTAATCTCCATCTTTTTCTGTATTGATCCCTTCCCCAACATCAAAACTCCCACTTCCATACCTTCTCCCTCTCCTCCCGAATTTTGCCCCGTATTCCTACCATCACCTCTCTTTAAATGCCTATCCGCCACTCTTCCCCTTCATTGCCCACCACAGCCTCCCTAGCATACTCTCCCTAGCATACTCTCCCCAGCACACTCTCCCCAGCACACTCTCCCCAGCACACTCTCCCCAGCACACTCTCCCCAGCACACTCCCCCCAGCACACTTGCTCCAGCACACTTGCCCCAGCACACTCTTCCCGTCAGTCTCCCGGTGAATGCTTCCCCGCCATTGCCACACCACCATAGCATACCCGGTACCCACGCCCGACCACGTCCTCTCCAATGCCTTCCCGACTCAGCTCCTCGGCACTGCTTCGCGCTTTCACTTCACCTCCGCCTCTCGCCAGTCTCCTCTACCCCACAACTGCCTTCCCCTCCCCCACGACCACTCCCAACACATACCCGTTCAGCGTCTCCCCTCTATTGCCTTCCATCCAGCCGTCACTGCCCTTCCACCCCCTGCTCCACCTCCCACCTCCGCCCATTGTCCCCGCCGTCTGCTGGACGCGCCTCTTGACTGCGCTCAGCGGCCATTGGCGGCTGCCGGCTCCGCCCCAGCGGCTCGGGCGCAGCGCGCTGGCTTCTCTCCATCGGAATGCCGCGCCCGGGCGCCTGGTTAGGAATAAATGGATTGAGTACCGGTGACGGGTGAATTGAATCGCTCAGAGAAAGAGGGCCGAGCGAACAAAAGGCCAGGGTGAAAGAGGGGGGCCGGGGGTCAGGAGAAGTGAGGGGAATAGATTTGTCTATTATTAGCTGAGAAGTACGTTCCGGAAATACCAAAATAGACTTCTCTCTTCCTTTCTTTCTTCGGAATTTGTTCGTAGGTGAATAGAAAAAAGGGAAGAAGATGTCTATAAACTGAAATTACATTCCGAATAAATTATTGTAATAAAAACACAGCAGCGTAATATAGGAAAGTACTGATGTGTTTATTACGTATTATTATACAGTATTTTAAAATTAATTTAGTTTGATGTTTTGTATTGAATGTTTTTTTATTACATTAAGCAACCAAAAAGGTATTATTTAACCTAGTTCAATTCATGATCAATGAAGTACATTTTTGGTTCAGTTAACTAAATGAATACAATTATATTCCCCATGAAATATCTATTTATGTGTAGATGATAGTGCATAACCTCATAAGTCTGACTATTCATCTGTTATTATAAAATTTATTTAATAATAAACTTTTGATTTGAATGAAAATCTTTCTGCAATAATTTCGAAAAAATTACATGATTATTAATATTGTTTTATTTATAAGAATTAACACACCCACGCACCCAGCCTTCGCATAGTCTCCATACCACAGAATCCTACCACACTCTCGCCACCACCGACTACTCGTTACAGCCTCCGGGCATATCCCCCCATATTATTAATTAATTATAATAATTAATTTGATATCGATTTCGAAATCCCATAAACTTCATAATCCCTAGATATGAGATATTATCAAGTTAATTACTCATTATCTTCTAATAAATTTTCATCTGCGTTAATTGGGTTGTTAGCTCTTGATTTTCTGTATAAATTTCAGATCCAATGTTACAAAAGTAGTAAGAAAACAGTTATGAGTCGAATATATGAGGTGTTAGAGTGGATGCAAAGGTGACATTTAAAGTTTCGTATAAAAATGTGATATCATGCCATTGTTTACACGAAAAAAGGTGCATGAGTTACAAATTACTTATTAATTAGTGTTTTTATTTATATTTTCTGACTGAATTTGCTTAAAACTATAGAACTATTCCATTATTTCACAGAGGCCAATTTTCTCGCTTTCGTTCAAAGTGCCAGATATTACACACAACTCATTATCAAAAACATGTGATAAATAAGAAGTTTCCCAACCAATCATCCCGAAATTTTGTTTAACAAGAAGGACCCGTTTCGCGTCCCATGGTTATAAACTATGAAAGAATTCATCGATGTTTAATAAAGTAATCATAATGGTTTCGATACGAAATTCTTAATGACTATTTTACTGCTTAAGGTATGAATTTGTGAAAAAAACTTCAAAGAATAATTTTTCAAGCTAATATAACTACTGCTTCAATGAAAACCGTACTTAAACGGAATTCTTGAATACTACTTTGTGAGAGTTCGTCTGGAGGAATAACGCTGGTGTGTCTCTTGTGTCCGCAGGCTTCCTGAACCCTAACACGGACGCGTACCTGCCCGAGACGGCCAACTACGGGCTGATGGACCAGATCGCGGCGTTGCACTGGCTGCAGGAGAACATCGCCGTGTTCGGCGGCGACCCCACCAACGTCACCATCGTGGGCCACGGCACCGGCGCCGCCTGCGTGCACCTCCTCATGACGTCACGCGCCGTGCCCGACGGTGAGTGCTCGCATCGACCGCATCCCTACATGACTAGGGCAAAAAGAAATAGTAGACGTATGTCGTGTTGTTCTAGAGTTAGGTAAATAAAAACAACTACTTTACATTGACGTCGTGTCGGCCATTTATTCGGCCATCATCAGAGCTGCAATAATAAATTGATATCATTTATACAGAGAGGATACATCATTTACAATCATAGACAACAATAACACTAATATTAACAGTTCAACAGGCTTTCTCCTAAGATTACAGTCTAAAGAAACTTACGTTCTATACGTTCTATACTGTCTTAAAAAAATACGTTCATAAAATCATGCTTCATTCATCAATCATGCTATACTGTCATAAAACTATACGTTCCTATGATGTCTCATTCTCCATGTAACAATATTCCACATGGTGCATGACTGGAATATCATGTAAATGTATAGTTCGTTTAGTCTTCATACGTATAATTCCAATGGATTAAAAATCACATGATATCAAAGAAAATAGTGAATGTTTTTCCTAGGAATATGATGTTTAATAGACTTTTCCAGTAGCTTAGCGATTAGCATCAGAAAACGGTTACCAATGACAAGTAGCCATTTGGAAGAAGAAACTTCCGCCTATTTACGTGTTTTTCCTATCAGTACTCACCGTCTTCTTTGGGTTCAATTAAACGAGTTGGCTTTTCGTCACATTGAATTCACTCTGAGAAAAATAAAGATGGAGATTTCAATTCCACACTAATTGTGATACACTAAAGCAGAAATGTCTGTCTAGTACAGAATCAGTTGTTACACTAGCAACACAGGTAGGATATGAATCTGCCTGTATCTTATGAATCATTAGAAAAGATGAAATCTCTTAGGAGAAGTTAGCCTCAAGCACGGATTCTTCCATTTTTATTCATATAGTTATAAGATGTACTAAAATACGTCTCTTCTTTTCAAAAGAGTGTATTTATTTCCTTCAGGAATATGTAATCATATGTTCTTTAACTAGCGAAAGAAAGTTTCACAGAATATTTTGGATTGTACATATTCTTCTATCGTAAAAGATGGTAGCAGAGTTATTTTTCATTCTGCCAATAAATTACGAGCTGTCACGAGATAATTTCTGTCGGGACATCGCGTTTTCTCGGTAGTTTAGTATTGGATCGATTATTTCTATTTCTTACATTAGTAATTGTATCATTGCTGCAGCCTTGATATTTAGAAGAATTCAGTAGAGTGTTACTTATTGACTATTTGAAAGATAAGTTTCTAATGCGTATTGAATACGTGATATAAACAACTCATCTATAATTTTTAATGATGATCTATCATCTTTCAACAGAAGTAAAATTCAAAATATTCAAACAATTGAGAACGAATTTCAATATTTTATACGGCGGAAAATGGCTTCAAGGTTAATGCAGTGAAATTGAAGGGGTCCCAAAGGAAGTCGAACTTTCCCTTAGTCCTGTGAAGAAATTTACATTTTTTATTACTCATTTAAACAGTAACATCTATTGACTCAACGGTTGCACCACTTATAAGTCACAGGATTTGGGCAACTGATATGATGGGTAACTGAAACTATGGGAACGAACTGTCGATCTGACATTGTCCCCACTACCCTGGTTAAGGAAAATAATTTTTCGTGGTATTCGTATCTTTTCTTTTAAAACATAGCACTTATTTCATTGTCTATCCAAATAAATCGTATAGGTGGAATTCGGTGGGGTGGTATACGGAGCAATGGCATCCACCTTTATGGCGAAGTTAGGTGAAACTGAAGAATTTTTCGGTTGTTGTCAATATTCGTTTAAATAGAGGGACGATGAGAACACATGATATCTATGCCTGGACGATTTGTAAATAGTTTATAGAGATTTAGGTAGAATATTAGATGGAATATCCCGTGTATAATTCTCAAAGTCCCATTTTAAATGTTCAATACTGACTATATCGCTGAATCCACATCAATCAAAAAAATTAAATAACAGCTTAGAATAACACATTCTGAGAACGCAGATTTGTGTGCAGAATTTTCGTGTAATTCACACTTATTGCGAATATTACATAGCATTGAATATTTTCTTTCATCCTTTATCGACAACCAATGAACTGTGATTGATATTCCCTGAGCATCAAGAATATCCTTTTGAAGCAAGTCATCTATTCATGCTAAATTAACCTTACTCGATCAATCCAAAATGAAAACACCCAAAGGCTGCAATATGTTTTGAATGAGGGTATTCAAAATGCATTCACATTTTTTCTATTTCCACTACAACGTAGAATCTGAAAATAATTTTACCGGTTGGAAAAAAATCTGTTGATTGTATCCCGTTTATTTTTAAGGAGATATTTCGAAATATGTGATTATATTATCTTCAACTATATACATATATTTTCGTATTTCTTAGTAGTTTACTTCGTTATATAAACTTTATATCTACTCTTTTTATTTACTTTTTTAACTGATTTTCTTTTACTTTTTTCTGAAATTATTATGTCGTACTTAAAAAAGTTGTTTTTATTCACGTAAATATTCAATTTTGTTCCGATTTTTACTGAAATGTTATGGACATGATTTCAAAAACAAGATAAAAATTAGACTTAATGAGGTTTCGTTAAAAATATGCCTTCATCCCTCTTCCTAGTTTTCCTTCCCCTTAGAAACAAAATGAAGCATGGAATCCTTGTGTTTTGTGACACTATTTCGAAAATCAATACTTCCTCTAAACGTCACCGTTTCGAAGACCACGGTCTTGGATCTCCCACCAACAAACTCGCCCCAGAGCTTCACCAAAACCTCCACCTCCTCCATTCGATTCCTCAAGACGCAGATGTCGCCAGTGTCGGCGCCCCAGGGGCCGTTCCTAACCTCATTCGCGGCGCCTCCTAACCGCATCGGCCGCGTCCGCCGGCCACTGCTGTTTGCCTTTAACTTGTAGTTGCTCGGTGATTACCGCCTGTTTACCTTGTGTTTGCCCAATGTCGCCCGGGACCCGGAACCCACCCGAGTTCCGAGCAGCTCCTTGTTCTCACCTCGACGCTCTCCGAGAGAGCGCGTGCAGACTGTCGATTGTCTCGGAGGCCTTCGTTTTTTGTTGTTTTCTTTCTTTTTTTTTCGTCGAAACGACGGCGGTCAATGAGACAGCCGACGTGATGTGCTGCCACTGGCGACAAAAGGAGGGAAACGTATTTCGCGTGTGTACACTGACAGCTGCCGCAATTGTTTTATTTTATTTTTTTCTTCGTGGAAAGGAGCTTTTGCGGAACAATTTTGTGAAATACACTTCGTAGTTATTACAAGGAAGACGTTGACAACTTCACAGACATTTCCGACAATTGTAAAAAAACTTATTTTTGTTTCATAAAACGTGTGTTATTCGTATGCTTATATTAGAAAAAATTGTATCAATTGTGAAAAACATTTTGAAATGTTCTCAGATATCTTTCACGTATACGTTTTTGAATAAAATTTTACATTTGTTCCAAATACTACGGAAACTACGTATTTTGATGGTTTCAAAGGGACTCATTGTTCCAAAATGAGAATTACATCGACAAACATAATACATTTTATAAAAGTTTGTAATATTTAAAAAAATGTGTGCTATAAAAGTACAAAACTCCCGTCAGAATTCCGCTGCTGTATTGGCAGAACATTTCAAATTATCTATGAAGGAGATCACCAATGTTTAACAAATGTACTCGCTACTACATTTATCAAGAGAAATTTTTCGCCATTTATACGACTTAATACCAGTTTCTTAGCATAAACAGCTTCCCACAAAATACTCCACGTGCAACTGGTGTTCTGAGCTTCTTTCATTAGCGTTAACCTCGATGAAATACAATAGCCTGAAGATTAGTCTTGTGTAAAGTACTCCGGCGTCGGCAAAACCTTCGAGAATACAGGTCAATAAATTTTAATAAAAAAATTCTCGAGCCTAACTTCCGAGAAAATCTAACGAGGGAACGGAGCGCCGCGGCAACGGCGCGGCGTAAGTCTTGCATAACGACCGACACGACCTAATGGACCCTCAGCAGTGATAAGTTGCTAACGCCCCTTAAAAAGGCTGCTGCGTCGGCGCGGCGTGCTCTCTGCGCTTTCGCCCCTAACCGAGGCGCAGCCATTCGAAGGCTGCTGTCTTCGCCCCTCCCCGCCCCGCCCCTTGCGTCTCAGAATCCTCTCCCCCTGCCCGCCATGCCTCCTTCGCACTCCCTCCCCGCACATCGACCCTCTCCGCTTCACCTCCCCCACACCCAACTCCCACAGCTCTGTCCCGCCCGTATCTTCCCCACTTCAACGCACCTTCATCGCCCCTCGATCGCCCCTTCCACCCTCGGCCCATCCACGTACAGCTCCTCCCAACATCGCACCTCCCTCACCCCCTTCCCCACCTCACCTCAATGCCCACTCCCGCAATGCCTCTCCCCCTTCTTTCCCCCTCTCCATCCTCCCAATGCCATATCTCAACCCCCTCCCGCAACGCCGCTCACTCAATATCTCTCTCTCAATGCCCTTCCCTTACCCCTCCCTCATCCTCACCCTCTCTCTCCTATTGTCCTCCCTCATCTCTCCGTTCACCCCATCCCTCATCTCCTCTCACCTCCTCCCTTAACGCCCGTCCCTAACCGCCCCACCTTCACCGCCTTTCCATCTCCCCTCTCTGCCATGCCCCTCCATGCACAGCTCCTCTCAGCATCTCCCCTCCCTCACCCCACCTACCTCTTTACCCACTCAACTCCTCCCCGCATGGGCTCTACACACACAGATCCTCCTAGCTCTGAACCTTCCTCACCGTCTCTCCTTCACCGCCTTCTCTTCTTGTCCGTCCCAAGCAACCCCTCCCCGCAGAAGTTGGAAAAACAATGAGAACTTACGCTAATGATTGTTCAAGTAATCCATTAAAAATAGCGTACTACCTGACATTCCCCGGCCCCTTTCTTATCTGCGAGCAATATGTGTGGCTCACGGGTAGTTGAATCAGCCTACTGGAAGGAAGGCGAGGCGCTCGGGCGCGATCGGCTCTAGGTGAGTTGAATACTAGTGACACGTAGATAACAGAAGCAGGCCCTTGCAGACAGTCTGGTCCGAATTCTTGCACTCGAGCCGCTCTGGTCTACAGCGTGGTTATCCGAGGGATCAAAGATCTTAGATTTCTTCAGTAGAGCAACTATCTCAGGTGGCTCAGAGCATCAGTTGATGACACTGCAGTGCCTCTGACCGGGAGATCGTAGGCGTCCAGTTGTGGGGGTCCGACTGTGGCAGGATTTTCGACACTACATAGACACCTATGTCGAGTTCAACCGCTATCTGGAGAAGAATTCTATTGACCGACTGGTCTGTTCGATAGTTTTCCGTGGTTTCTTCGATCAACACCAAGCGAATGCTCTAAACAACGGGTCACGTACGGCGCGCGATCTTTACTTCCTCTGCCTTGTCTTATCCTCACCGTCTTACTTACACTTATACGCACTACACTAACACACATGCCGAGAGACCAGTCAGGAGCTTAGAGCTGTCCCTCCTAGGGCGGTGCCCCGCCGGTGAGAAATACTTGGTTGGGGAAAACCAAGCAGTCTGATAGACAAGAGCCCGATCTGGCCATTCAGGAGGGGGGGAATCACCGCCACCTCCCGCGATAACAACATGCACTGCATTTACGAGACCGATGACCTAAGCGGGTGACGCCCTCAGAATCACTAATTAATCAATCAAGGCGAGCGATATCGCCAATATTCACACCCTCTACCCTTTGTGTGAAACGGGTACTTGCTGGCACGGAGAAAAGCAAGCGTGTACTGGTTGTAATTGAAAAGGGAAAGTTGAAAAATGAAAATTCCAAGTTTTAAGAAAACAGCAGGTACGAAAGGATACGAAAAGAGTGCAGTAATCATAACGCAAGTTTGGATAAGCATGTCGTGGGAGAGAAATTACCGCATGGTTGGTAAATACTTGATTACATACTAATAAAGTACTGATTAATTACCATTAAATATGCGCATATTAAAATAATATTAGTTACGTGTCTCAGAAATATCATATATTAGGAGGGAAAATTCTATTTCACAAAAATACACTTCAATATCTAGATGGCTTATCTCGGCTGAAATGTAACGTGAAGATCTTTTTTCACTAAATTAATTCACACATCTCTTTCGAACGACATACGAGTTTACAATCAATTAGTCGGAAGTTTATTATCTTACGGCTTCTTTTATGATTCACTATTGGTCGTGGGTTGAGGCAAATTGAGGTCAAGGTCTGTCGCGAAATATAAATATAGATTTGCTTTACTAAAGAAATGTACTTACAATTGGTCGCGGTGTCTTGTGGTGCAAGTGTATGTTTGTTGTAGTAAATGTCCTGGTGGAAAAGCAGGTTAAGACGCGCGTTAGTGCATCACGGACTACTTGGTATTTAAGTACGTGAGTTGTAAAATTGCTTCGGATATAAAATTGCGTTTGTTACAAAATTAGATTTACAGCGTGAAGAATAAGAACTAAAATAACTGACCTGACAAAGTTACTATTAACCAATTAATTTGTTTTTGGTTCTCTCTAAAAGTGCTTCTTAGTAGATTCAAATGTAGTTCATTATCCAACATAGTATTTTTTTATTTGCGCTCACTAATTTCGCCAGTAAACTGACGCTAACTTTTCAATTTCTCCTAATTACAAAATTTATAACCTCTAAAAATTTTCCACAAGTTGTAAAATTTATTAATTATGGCACATTTGTAAATCATGGCCGCTCTTCAGCTGTGCAAAATGAAGGCCAACTGTCGGGTGTCTCCCTCACCTCCAGCAACCATGGAGAGAGAACTTTAGAAAAAGTTAAAAGTATTTCTGAGGGCGAGATCAAGAATTTACTAGTAACCAACTATATTCAAACATAAATACTAATTATCCTAAGCTTATAATTAACATTAACATATTAACTAAATCAACTAACGTTCTAATATATAACATTATTCTTAAAATAATGAATTCTTATTTCTCTCCACTCAGGGAATCAATTTATTACACTGCAGTCGCTGACTGGGAGGTCGTAGGGTTACAGTCCCAATGATGACGGAATTTTTGACAGTAACTGCTAACTCTAGGTGGAATTCGTGATGAACTAGATCTAATTTGTCTCGGCTGGGACGGAGTCCTGCTGGTGAGAGATACCTGGAAGGGAAACAAAATTGTGAGCCGACGGGATGGTTGGCGCCGAATCTCGCCATTCATCAGGGGAAGATCGCTGCCCTCTCCCTAATAATATGCGCAACACTTACGGGACTAATGACCTTAGCCGTTCACGCCCAGAATCACCACTTAATCAATACACGACTAGATTCAAGACAATACTCTCGGCTGTCCAAGAAACACTTAAATGGAAAGGGCGAGACACTGTAAATGAACTTGTTCCATGCATTGTTTCACATTTTGTAGTCACATTTTTAATTATTATTTGATTGAAATAAAAAGAGGACTTCAGAGTATTTTTGGAAAATAAGTGATCAGATCTACATGATGTGTTGCATGTGTTACAGAAACAACGTTGTTTATCCTCATTTACTGTTTTATTGTAGTTTATGGCCTGCACGAATGACCTAAATGGTTTCGCATCACAGAGCCTACTACCGAAGAACGCTGACAAATAGGTGATTTCAAATACTCGTACGAGATTGATAGGTACTTCGAAAACTTAACTACAGCCATTTATTTCATTTTCCTTCCGGAAAAAACTGAAATGAGTAATGCATACCAAACACATCAACCAGAACATAACAATCGCCGTGAAAAGATTGAAGTATGTAAGAGTCAATGTTTCGTAGTGCATTTATCAGAGAAAACAAAACTCAAGAATCACTTTTTTTTTAATATGTCATACCATGAAGTTCATAAATTAAAATATGTGAACAAATGAGAACAAAAATCATTGTGGTCATAGCGGTATTCATTTAGATCTCAACCACTCTTTCTCCTCTCTCTGTCTTTTTCATTTTCCTAACCCTCTTCTATTTCTTTCTAATCCACATCATGCCTTACCATTGTCCTGTTGACTCTCTAACGATTCAATACATTTAAACTGTTAGGGAAAAACGATTCTCTTCTACAACCCAAAACTAGCCCTTATCCTACATGTGCGTTCTCTGAACCGTAAGGTCCATTCCATTTGCCCAAATGAAACAGCGTCTGTTTCTGTCCCGAGCTGCGCCGTGTGTGCTTGGCTCTGTCGCCTTCCGTTAGGCGCACGGCGGCGCGCGCAAGCTCGGCGGCCGTCGCGACTCCCGTCTCTGTGCCGAACCGTGTCGGTCCCTCCGCCGTCGAGCTGTCACGCCGCCTCGGCGCCACCCGCGGCTCTAATGACACTAACTAGATATAGCCCGACAACTCAGAGTCGAACGCAAGAGAACGCAGGCGTCTCGTGTTCGGAACCAGACGGCGCTCTGATCGAACGCCTCGGCTTTTGCCGCCCTCGCCCCGCGAATCGCGGCCGTGCGCAGCGCCGGACGCCTCCCCCGAGAACACTGCCGTTCCCCGCTACTGTAATCTTCCGCGCCCCGCCTGCGCCCTTTGTCCGTCCCCATCCTCCCCTTCTCCAACCCATAGCTCGCCCCTTTCTCGGCCGTCCTTTCGCCCTTTCCACTCTAGCTCCCCGCTTTTCCTCCCCGCCTCGGCCTTTTCCGTCCACCTGCCTAGACGGACCGCCTGTGGGCTAGTCCGCGAGCGCAGGCGAAGTGAGGATAGTCGGACTGGGAGACCAAACCCTTAGCTTTCTCCTTTTCGGCCCGCCTCGCCCTTTTCCACTCTAGACTCGCCTTTCGCGACCCTAGCTCGCCCGTTTCCGTCCGCCTCGCCCTTCTTCGTCCACCTCGCCCTTTCCACGTCCTAGCTCGCCCTTTTCGCGCGCGCCTCGCCCTTTCCACATCTAGCCTGGAACATATCCCCGCATTTCAGGTAATTGTCATCGGGGTGTATGGGATGAAATGAAAGGCGGGATAGTATCTTCACTGGTAACGTTTCTGGGACTACAGAGTGTACCTGGATCTGGTACAGCGTACATTCCCCTAATCCCGCCCCTGCCTCGGCCCTTTCCGATTCCCTCCACCTCGCCCTTCCACTCTAAGCTCGCCCTTCCGCCCCCTCGCCCTTTCCGACCCGCCTCGCCCATTTCCACCCATAGCTCGGCCCTTTCCGCGGCCGCCTCGCCTTTCCACTCAGCTCTGACCTTTCCACCCTAGCTCGCGTCCCTTTTACGCCCCGCGCTCGTCCCCCTATTCCCCAACTCCTTAGACTTCGCCCTTTTCCCGCCCCGCCTCGCCCTTTCCGACCCACCTCGCCTCTGTTCCGACCGCCCGCCTTTCCGACCCGCTCGCCGCTTTCCGCACCCACGCGTCGCCTTTCTCGACCCGCCTCGCCTTTTCCACCCTAGCTCGCCCTTTTCCGTCCGGCCTCGCCCTCCGTCCTCACCGCGCCATGTTCCACCTACTCGCCCTTTCGCCCCCGCCTCGCCCTTTCCAGGCTCTAGCTCGCCCCTTTCCGTCCCGTGCCTCGTCTCCTGTCGACCACCTCGCCTTTCGACCCATCCTCGCGCATTTGCCGACAGCCGCCTCGCCCTTTCCGACCTCCTAGCTCGCCCTTTCCGGCCCGCCGTACGCCACTTTCCACCTAGCTCGCCTTTCCACTCTAGCTCGCCTTTCCGCCCCCGCCTCGCGCGGCTTGTTCCGACCCACCTCGCCTCTTTCCCAACCCTAGTCTCAGCTCTGTTCCGGCGCCCGTTCTTCGCCCTTTTCACCCTAGCTCGCCCTTTCCGGCCCGCCATCGCCTCTTTCCGGACCCAGCCTCGCCGCTTTCGCGAACCCGACCTCGGCCACTTTCGAGCCGCCTCCCCTTCCGACCGCAACCTCGCCTTTCCACCGTCTAGCTCGCCCTTGTCCGCCGCCTCGCCCTTTCCACCTTAGGCTCGCCTTTCCACAGTCGCCTTTGTCGCGCTCGCCCGGGAATGGCGATTCCCTTCGTCTGTTCCAACCGCGACTTTCCCAGCTCCGTTCTCACCCTGCCCACCTCGTGTGGCCATGTCCCCCTCCCCGCCGCACATCTACATTGCTCGCACACTCTGCCTGCCGCACCGCTATTTCCGCCCCACCCTCGTCATCTGCTTTGCTCTCCCCCGTCGCACAATCTGGCCCGACTCGAGCTCCGCATGTATCTTGAGAATGGTAGCTGTAACTCCTGGCTCTCGCAATTCTCTACGTTATTGTCGGACTGTGCTCAGCCCGCCCTATGCTCCGTACTATACTCGTACTTGCCTTTGCTTACCCTGCCTGCTCCCCTTGCGCCTCCGCTCCCTCCCCCGGCTTCTCTACCAACACCAAATACTCTTTACTCGCCTCGCGTAGGCTCGCTCAACCTGCTAAGCCTCGTTATGCCAATCCCCATCTCGTCTCGAATGTCTTGTTCGCCCGCCGTGCTCGCGTCCCGACTGATCGACATCCTTTCTCTTTGCGGAAAGGTGGTGGGGGCACCGCCTGCTGCTTCCGCCTCGACCTCTTGCATGACCCCTCCTTGCTTCGCTCGTTCCGAAGCATGTCCAATCCTGGTCACCTGGACTAGCTCACCCTGCCGCTAAGCCATATCCTCAATTCAGCTCACTTTATCTCGTCCCCCATTTCGTTCAAGCCCACCCAGTTTACTCTCCAGTTGTACCTCATCTCACCAGTCCTAGCCATTTCTGGCGGTTACTGCCTTACCGCGATCGGCTCGCCAGTTCTGTCCAAACGCAGCTCCCCTTAAGCTCACCCCACCCATCTCATTTCGTACTCGGATTCTGCAACGTCAACTCACCATCTCGGTTTCCTGCCCAGCTCACCACATACAGCATCGTCTGGCTCTTATTCTCATTCCTTTCGGCCCCAAATTCTTACACTCTGCTTCGTCAGCTCTCATCCGGCCAGCACATGTTCCTTCCAGCTCGTGTCGATTGATCTGTCGTTCCCCTAGCCTTCCCTCCCTGTGTAGCCTTATTTGTTCACCAGGTTGGCTTTTTACTGTTATAATTTGCTGTGCTTACCACATGCAATTTCTGTTCTTTTTGTCATTTTTCAACCCTTTTACCCTTATTGCCAGATCCATGCATATAGTTCAAGTTTTATCTCAACGCCTCAAAAATACATTGTCTACAGACTTCTCTACTAATATATCTTAACTTTCAGTGAGAGGCATAGAATCATATCCCCGTCTACATTATGCTTCATTCACCATCACATATCTACATAGCTTAGCCCTAAATAGTTTACTTAATTGTTCTTAGTTTGTTTTGCTGTTTCCATTGACTCGTGGTTCGCGCATTTAGATCTCACTCCCTCTGTGATTTGATTCAATTCGCGTGTTCCTCCCTTCCCCCTATTTCTTTCTGTCCTCCCTTATTAGTTCTCTGGTTCACTCTCTCTCTCTCTCCGTCTCTTCTCTCCTCTCTCTCTCTCTCTCTTCTCTCTCTCTCTTTTCAGATTCGGCCCCTATACCATTCCCTGACCATCCCTATAATTGCTCTCATTACTTCGCTTAGCGAAGCTTCCACTCGCGGTCTGTCTGTCCTTCTGACCCGGCCCTTGAATCCTCCACTTGCCCCCGCGACTCAGCCCCGACGCAATCGCCCACTGCCGCTCACGAATTACAAAGCCCCGTTTTTCACGGGCGGACCCACGACACCGAGCAATATTTAGCCGACGATTTTAAAATCGCGGCGCTCGGGGGCGGGCCGCGCGGGGCTATAGAATTCGGGCGGGCCCGGCGGCCGTTTTTTCTTGGGACGAGCCCCGCGCCGTCGCCGACGCTGCAGTGCCCACTGCGCCCCAGCCTGCCTCGCTTCGGTGCCTTCTGTGCGCTATCCCCCAAACTGCGTCTACGGCTTCCGCTTGCGTTGGTCCTCGGCCTCGCCCGCGCTGCCATCTTTCTGCCATCGTACCCAGCCTGGCCCACACCCGCGGCCTCGCCGCTCGACCCCGCCTCGACCGCTCCGACCGCCTCCACGTCGACTCGACCGCCTCCGAACGCCGACGCCTCCGACCGCCTCCGACCCGACTCCGACCCGACTCCGACCCGACTCCGACCCGACTCCGACCCGACTCCGACCCCCTTGCTAATTATCTCTCAATCGCTTCCTCTCGCAACCGAATCAGAACAGATTTCAAGTGACCGTCCCGCTCCTCGCTCGTCCCGCTCCTTGCAAAACACCGTCTCGCCTCTGCTTCGACATCTGCTCTTCCCCCTCTCCTTTCTACACCCGCCCACTCGTCATCGCCCCTTCACGCCTCCAATCTCCTCCAGCCTTCACCACTGCCCGCGTCACGCCTTCTGCACACTGGCTCTGCGACGTCCTGTGAGAGTAAAAACGGTGGCAGCGCAAAACAAGACCTTTTGAAGAGAGAGAGAGAGAGAGAGAGAGAGAGAGAGAGAGAGAGAGAGAGAGAGAGAGAGGAGGAACGGGTGGAAAAGAAAGAGGTAGGTGTGGTTTCTGGTCTTGTTCTGCTGAATTCCGGAAAATTGGAGGTGATATCGCTAATATGTGGTTCGTATTCTGGAAATTCTGAACTATTGTTATTTGGT